GGTCCGTCCCGCCCGGGCGCTGCCGTGCTGCCGGCAGCCCCGCCACCCTTTTTTCCGCGTGGACCCAAAGAAATCCCCCCCGGCCTTCTGGGCGTGGCACGTGTCTCGGGCCAAGACTTAAAAGTAGACGCTTAAATTTTGGGGATACTAGGGTGCGCGCCCTCAAAATTACAACCAAGATCGCGAATTTGATGTGAAGCCCGAGGATAGCAGGAAAAGGGCCGTTCTCCTTGAAATTGTTTTCGATCACGCTGATACACTAAGGGCCCCTAAAGTTCATTTCTCTTGAGAAGCAGGTTTTCTGTGTTAAACATTTCCTCTCAGTGTTTAACATAAACTGTACAGTTTTACCTGTCCACACTATTTCCATGTTCAGAGTCAATGTTTCCCAAGGTGTGCATGGAAACCATGGACAAATCGACTGCAATTACACTCATGTAATAATCCAGTAGTACTGAAGAATGTTGGAAGTTGTTTCTATTTTCACTCACTTTGCTATTTATTTTCAGCTGCTTTAAAACTTGGCAGCATTTTGGGAAAATCATCCCAGATAGTTTATTTGAATTGCAACAGCGAATCTCTTGTTTCATTTGCAATGAAATATACTTTATGAGTTTTTTAAAAAGAAACATTCAACCTACCTTATGACACACAGCAAAATCCTGCAGTTTCCCTTTTTCGTTTCAGAATGATGCTGTGCTAAATGGTATTGACCTACCAGGTCCAATGTATTCCTTCTAAAATGACAAAAACATGAATCCATTTGAACAGACATAATACCCTAATGGCAATGAGATGCATCAGATAGTAGGAAGGGACTCCATTATCCCCCTATATATCTGAAGCAATAAAAAAATCTAAAAGAGGGAGCAGTTTTGCATTGGGTTACGATGGCAAAACAGGTATATTTTTTAAAAAGTCTATCAGGCTTGTTTAGTAACTTTCATGCTAATTTGCTTTAAAAGTTTATGAATGGAGCATTCAGCCTTCATAAGTAGTAGGTCTCTTAGCTACGTAATTCTTGCAGTGAATGAAATCCAGTTTAACTGGTGCTAAATATTTTAGGAAGGTTTTGCTCTTCCCAGCTAGCAGTTCCAACTGGTGTCATGAATAGTGGCATCAGTTCGATATTCTGCTCTATGTGACTGGGCTTTTCTGGTTATCTGTTGTTGCAGATACATTTATGTTTATATCCTGTTGCTTCTGGAAGAAAGTCATGGTGACAAGAGCATCTTCTCTTGTTGTCTAGCTCTTCTGACTGTAGTCAGGAAGTGTGAGATCACTCAGTGTGAACCTGATTCAATCTTTTTGTGATTATTTTTTCTCAAAAGCATTTCAGAAACGGTGATTTATAGCTGCTTTTGCGTTGTTTTCTCTAAAATGTGTTCCCAGGGCTATGGCATGGGGGCCCCCAACCAGCCCATTGCACAAAATGTAAGCCTGTGAACTTCAGTCTTGGTCCCACTCCCCTCACTAAGCTTCTTAAGCCCATGTTCTTGTAGAGGTTCTGTAGCACAGATTGTCTCTTCTTCCTCAAAGCAGATCGAACGATTATCTTTCAAAACAGTCTTTTAGAGCTCCAGTTTCTTACAGAGCTCTGGGCAGGATTTTTAGACTCCTCAATATCTGGATCTAGCAAAGCCTGTTTCTAGGAGTTACAGGCAGTTTTCAAAAACAGGGAGCTATAGAGAAGATTTCTTTTTTTTTTTTTTTTTTTTTTTTTTTAATCTGGATTTGAATAAACACTATTTGCAAACTTCTATGGTGCAAATTGCAATCCAGGTGCTAAGGGCAACAAATGAAACTTACATTTGAGGTTTACTTTAGCTGTTGATAAAACCTTTTCATCTAGGAGACAGATGAGTAAGCAATAGTGGAAAGCAGAAGTCAGCTCTGTCTAAATTAGTATCCACAGCTTTACTGGGTGGACAGTAACTGGGCCGTGGGAGGGTCACACTATCTATCCTGAGCTCCCATGTGTCTCCCTGCATGATCCAGGGCAGCTGCCTTCACCTGCCAGCCCTGGTTTTTCTGCTCCGTGTGTTTGCTCTTCGCGGCAGGGGTAGTTCCTGCGTGTGCATGTGAGGATCGTGGACCTCTTGGTGCCTTTTGGGTAGAGCTAACCGTGATTAAAATGAAACGTGATTCTTGAAACGTGTTCTTGAAATGTGTTCTTTCAGAAAAGTACTTTTTTTTTTTTTTTTTTTTTT